TTATTAAAGTATACTTTTTAAAATGCAGACTTTTAGGGCATGGACCTGCTGTTGAGTTCAGGCTGCACTCTGCCCTAAGTGACTCCATATTGTTTAAAACGATTTTTTTTCCCCAGGCTGTTGTCTCATCCCGAGACTCCATTTTATAAGGAGGCTTTGGCCCCAATAGAGAAGGCTGGCTGCTGCCTGGAGGTGCCCATAAATGCCGCCAGCACTTGGCCCGGGGTTAACACCTCCTCCTAAGGGGAGGAAGGGTGCCCTGCCCCTTTACCAGAGCACACTGGAGCCACGTGAGCTCATTAAATCATATCAGGAAAACCAGGCCAGGAACCTACCAAGCATGGCAGACAGACAAGGGTGCAGCCCTCCCCTGGCCCCGGAAAGAGGCTAATAAATACTGCAGTGACAGCGGTTCCACCAACCTGTCCCCAACCCAAGTACACACCAAGAGTCTGTCCCCAGGGCTTCAGCTTGGCTCTGTCCTCGCCACTTACTATGTGACCTTCTCAAGTTGCTGTCAGTCTGTCCATCCATCCATCCTCCCATCTGTCTGGAGCCGGCACTGCCCTTGGCGCTCACCTCTGTAGCTGGACTCTGCGCCTCCAGCGCATGAGCGCGTTATCCAGCCCTCTGCACCCTTAGCCTTCTGCTGGCCTCCAGTGAGACCTCCAGGAAGGTCTGCGCGCTCTGCCGCAGCCGATTCTCCTTTGTGGGTGTCCTGCAGCCTACATGCAGACAGCCTGCATGTAGTGCACTGGACGGGAGGCAGAGGCTGGCTCCTGCTCTCGTGAAACTCAGTACCCTCAAAGGTCTAAGGAGAGGCTCTCCTGCCACGTGCACACACTCTCTTCAGAGGCCCTGCCAGGCTGGGGCCTGAACCTTCCGTGTTGCCTGTCTGCCCACGGCATTCGCTCTTCTAATAAACTCCTTCGTTCCCAGTAATCCGTTTGTGTCTTCTAGAACTACCTGCCCCATCCAAAACCTCACAGACAGACTGATTTGTTGTGTGATGTGCGATGTATGATCTGAGGATCACATCACAATTGAGATCGGAATGAAAGAATCTGTTTGCCTCAACCAGCTAGCAAGGGAGATCAGAACTACTCGTCAGATTCCAGCCAATGAAAATAGCCCTGGCTGTGAATTCATCATTATTTACTATGGAGAGACACAAACACATCCCCCTGGGAAATGTCCACCATAAGAAAACCAACATCCCAGAAGCCCCTTCTCTCCCGCCCTTGTTGCTGACTGCACCAAAGCTGACCCTAGTCCAGGCAAAGCGTTGTCCAGTTTCAAACCTCACAACACGGCACTTTCAGAATCAGCTTATCGACTTGTTTTTGAAAAATAATCTTGCAAGTTTTTACTGATTTTTTTTTTTTTTTTTTTTTTTTTTAAATACAGGGCCTCACCATGTAACCCTGCCTGGCCTGGAACTTGCTCTGTAGACCAGACTGGCCTGGGACTCAAAGACTTGAGTCCCTGCTTGAATGCTGGGACTCAAGGTGTACACCACCACAATCAGCCCAAGATTGAATTTTTTTGTTTTGTTGTGTTTGTTTTAGATTTACTTATTTACTATGTATATAGTGTTCTGCCTGCATGTGTGCCTGTACACCAGAAGAGGGCACCAGATCTCACTATAGATGGTTGTGAGCCACCATGTTGCTGGGAATTGAACTCAGGACCTCTGGAAGAGCAAACAGTGCTCTTAACCTCTCAGCCATCTCTCTAGCCCCCAAGATTGAATTTTAACTGACTCCATGGCTCTGAAAAGCAATGATGTTAACTTCTATTATTTTAGACCTTTTTAAATTTCCCCCTTTAAAAAGGTGAGTTTTGTTTTTTGTTTTGAGACTGTGTCTCCAGTGACCCAGGCAGCCTGCCATGATGGAACAGCGCATGACTCTGAATATCCACGGTGCTGGAATTAGAGACGAAGGCCATGAAGCCTGTTTACACAGTGCAAGGATGGAGCTTGGCGCCAGGTGTGCTCAGCAGGTGCGTGACCCCACAGCCCGGCCTGAAGTCTGCATTGCTCACAGATACTCGGTTTACTGACTCCATTTTTTCCTTTATTCAGTAGTTGGGCCACAGTTAGTTTATTCCTTTCTCCATGAACAAAGCTTGCTTGCCAGGAGTAACCGGGCCACCACGGTCTGCTGTCTTTGTGGCGCCCCAGGCTTCACTGACAGCGGTGGTGTCTCCTACCCCTTGCTCCCCTTTTACTGATGCTTGGTCCCACGCCGTTTCCAGTAATTTTCTTGTCAAGTTTCATAACAAATGCCACAGTGGCCTCATAAATCACCAGGTGGTGGCCCCTCTTCCTTTCCTATTTTTTCAGTGTTTGGCCGATCTCACTTCAAACCCAGCTGGGCTGGAGGGATTTTAAGCTATGCTCAGTTTCCCGGGACTAACTCGGCTGGCCTGGTCCTCACGGTTTGACTCTCTGGAACCCTGGGAAATTTCATCTGGATTTTCAACTCCATCAGCATAGCATGGCTCCCCAGAGCGTCCTCAGGTCACTTCAGGGTGTGGGCTAAACCGAAATAACGCCTTTCCTTCCCTGACACTACTGCTAAGGTGGGATGAGAAACGGCCTGGCAGGCTCACTGCTGGAACAGCTGGTGCCCTTGACCCTGACTGAGAAGGTTGAGGGACCTTCTGAGGAGGAGCCTGGCCGCTCACCGGGGCGGCATGAAGGTTTCTAGCCAGCCATACTTCCTGTTCACAGCCTGCTTTCTGGTTATGGATACGGTGTGCCCGCAGCCTCCTCTCCCTCCCCGCTGGTGGCCGGCACCTGGGACAGCTGCTCGGCACTGTACTGTGGCTGGACTGAGAACTACCCGTGAGGCAGGTCAGGCACTCCCTGTGTCCTGGAGGGGCTTCCTAGAGGGTTAACCAAAGGAAGAACCACCTGAGAGAGGGTGGCCAGAGTAAAGCAAAAAGCCACCCAAGGGCCCGAGTTCCCGTTTCTGCCTCCCAGACCCCACCAAGGACGTGTCTGCTGGAGCACCCCGCTGCCAGGGTGGGCCGAAGCCTCCAAGACCAGGACTCTGTCACGAGCCTTGGTCACAGTGACAGACTCTCACACACTTGTTACAGCCGCTGAGAAGAGATGCCGCAGTGCACCACGGACATTTTGAGTTCGACATTCCTCAAGTGTCACTCACAGAAGGGGCGGGGGGGGTGCACAGTCCGCAGGTTCCCTTCAGGGCGCTTCACCCCCACACAGCCGTGAGCAAAGGTGACAATGACAGATGTCTCGCGTTAGCTGCACCCTGCACCGGCAGCTGAAGCGGGAGGATTCCAAGCTCCAGGCCAGCCTGAGCCACACAGCGAGACAGTCCCCAAACTGAACAAACACAGAACACAGAAGGAAAATCGCCTCTCAGCAAGTTATGAACTCAGACCAATGGCTCTCTCCTCCCACAGGGCACACTGTAGAATTCAGGGGGCTGGGAACTCACACACACATTTTCATGAGTCACCAGATTAAAAAAAAAAAAAATCAGTCTTTAACCGGATTGTAAAAGTGGACCATAAGTTTGCAGCAGTCCAGAGAGGATGTCGGGGACTCCTCAGCAGTCACACAACCGCTGTCCTGAATCCACCAGGCATGGCTGGCCCTGGCCACTCTCAAGGGGGGGGGGGGGGCTAACTGCCCCAGAGGGCACTTGTTACTTAAGGCAAATAATAAAGATTATACAAATCTGAGTTTTAATGGCATTTTGATGACTTTGTTTCACTATCGTTTATAATCAGTTTTTATGTCTTTTACTTATTTTTAAATTTTGTTTTGTTTTCTGAGACAGGGTCTCACGTAGCCACTGCTGGCTTTTGACTCTTGATGGGTCTCACGTAGCCACAGCTGGCTTTTGACTCTTGATGCCCCTGCCTTCGAGCAGCGCCAAATACGACGCACCTGACCCCCAGACACACTGACATCAGCCCACCAGAGCCCTGACCTCACCCTCTGTTGGTGCATCTCATTTACTTCTCTAACAAGAAGCAAAGAACAGGTAACGCTTTGAGTAGAAGGGCACGGCCTGTCTCTCCAGGCGGCAGATGAGGGCATCCACTCAAATTATTAACCGCACCTCAAGGGTCAGAACTGTCCTAGACAAAACAATCCACCATATAAAGGGAGAAAAATAGAAGTGGGAGAGGGAAAGGAATTCTGGACTCCGGGAAGGCCCACCCCCCCCTGTCACCCTTTCCTGCAGAGCAGGAGCCTAGCTCCAAGGAATAAAGACACTGCAAGGGACCGGCATACAGCCCAGCGCGGACTGTCCGAGTCACTCCCACTCGAGGAAGGCCCTGATGGAAAAGTTGCCAGCCCAACTCCTTCCTTCCACAGCGGTGTGCACCTAGAACCGGGGACCAGCACACAAACATCTCCCAGTCTTGCCACTGAACAGATGGGGAAACTGTTGATGAGTCCAGAGAGCAGAAAGCGAAAGATCTCCAAACTGGGAACTGAGGAGGTGTCTCAGTGCTTAAACACTGGCTGCCCAGGCTTGAGGGCCCAAGTCCAGATCCACAGGACTCATGAAATGCCCCAGGGCCTGTAATCCCCGCCTTCTCCCGGGGCCAGGGCTTTCCATGGAGACCCTATCTCACTGCCTGCGGTGGGAGCGGGAAGCTTGGCGGCCTGCGCACAGACGCGCACAGACTGGAAGAAAAGAGCCACCTCTGAGCTGGGCCGGGAGCAGAGGCCGTGGACGCGCCCTTCCTGGCTCCCCGGGCTCCTTTGTGTCGCCGCCCTCGGGCACGCGGACACGGGAAGCGGAAGCGCCGCTGCGTTTCTCCCACGTCAGCGGCAAGCCTCCCACGACCTGCCGCGGCCCCCCAGCCAGCCCCCTGCCTCTGCAGCCAAGGCCCTGCGCCCCGCCAGCTCCACGCGTGCGCCCGCCCGGCCCTCCGCGCGCGCCCTCCGACGCCCCCGCGCGCCCCCGCGCGCGGCCCCCAGGCCTGTCGAGCGCCGGCGAAGTCACCTGAGTCGCAGCGGGCAGAGCTGGGGCCCGGAGGAAGGACTCGCGAGCCCAGCGCGGGTCGGAGGCCGTGGGGGTGAGCGCCTGGCCCGAGATGGCGCGCCCGGGCTCCCGGACACGGGATTGGCCGGCGCTCTGCACACTTACGGGGCGGAATCGTCACGCAGGGTCCCAGAACCTCAGGCTTCTGGACGCTTCCCGTCCCCGGAGGAATGAGGCAGGGTGGGGGTGTGTACAGCCTGCCCTGCTGCGGGAAGATGACAAGGCCTGTGGAGGGCTTTTAAAAGCCATTGTAGAGCTAGGGAAATTGGGCTTTGCGACCATCTTCACGTCTACCTTCCCCAGCACCAACTAAAACAGCCGGACCAGGAGTCCTGGTTGCCCAAGGTCCTGGCGAGTTCACAGGGGATACCTCTTGGTATTATATGGCCTTTGTCCTGTGGGGGACATAGTTGCACTTTCTAGCATTCCTGGTGGGTAAGAGGCTTGTTTGTGCAAGTGTGAGGATCTAAATTTAATCCCCACATCCAAGTAAAGGCCCTGGCCTGCTATCCCATCATTGAAGGTAGGGACTAAAGCGGAGCCCCAGACCCTGGCCAGCCAGCTTACCCTACACAGCCAGAGACCCTACCAACTGGGGAATGGGGTCAGGAAAGAAGATGCCACCAAAACCTTGCCTTGCCTGTAGGCACAGTTTTGTAATCTGTTTTATTTTTATTAGGGTTCCTTATGCCCCTTTCTCCCTGCTCCACCCCAATCCATTCCAATACCCCAACACTAGGTTGGAGAGAAAGGTTAGTTGGGGAGAGGGCACACAGTTCCCCTCACCTACTTCATGCTGGTTAGGGGCAAATCCAGTCTGCGTTTCAGGAGACCTCCAGCTATCTCCAACTGCATCAACACCAACCAGGAGCAGCAAGGGGCGAGTGGAGGGAGGGAAGCCTTCTTCCTCCCGGCCCCCTTGTCTCTCTGGGCTCTGGCTTCTATCTATTCCCTCTCCAGAGTCCTCAGAACTAAACTATCTACAGCCTGCAAAGATCACACCCCTCTCAGAGCCCGAATGAGGCATAGTCTGCTGCTGTGGGCCCTCTAAAGCAGCCCCGTATCCTACACCTGGGAGTAAAACAAAAACATGTTTTTATAACATACCTGAGCTCTTAAAGACACCAAAACTCCCACTCCACTGTCCCCTCCGAAGGGCACTCAACATGCATACAAGTTTATCTGTAACAAATGTGTCTTGGTGTCTCACAAGTCTGGGCTCGTTGCCATTTACACCTAACCGCTTTCTACATAGGCAGGTATGTGCAGTGCTTCTCTGCAGACAAAATAAAGGCAGGTTCGGTTACAGGTAAATCAGAAACATCTGTGTAAGAGAGCATACTCAAGATTTAAGCATTGCCGGAGACACAGCTGAGAGGGGTGGAGCCTTGCTGCCCATGCAGAAGGCCCACAATGACAAAACAACACAACTGAGCCATGACTGAGGACCGTGCGGTGGGAAGAGTCCAGCTGTTGTTTTCTGTCACACGTAGACTTGGTACAGTTGATGAGAACATCACGGCTCAATCGCAGCAGGACAAGAGACTGGAGTGTGGCGAGGCCTTATAACAAAGCTGTCTTCAGAGACTGAAGCTTTGCTGGCCTCGCAGTCTGAGTTAATAATACACACTGAGGTCACTTAAGACTGGGAGCCTGCTGTGTACTCTGAAGAGAACAGTATAACAGTCGTCACTATCTTGGATTCCCATGTAATCAGCTTTTACAGTCTGAGCTAATGCGTAGCTGTAACCTTAAATTGCGCGCTCTTCCTGGCCATGACCCAGAACAATATATCTACATGTTCTAGTAATCATTCGATGAAAAATCAAACAGAGAGGTTCCAATCAGACTTCTAAAATGAATATTCACCGCTAGTGCCGAAAGCAACCTTCCTGTCGCTTGTTTACTCTTTGTTACCGGGTGGTTGGAGGCAGTGGCTCAGTCTCTAGGAAAGTCTGCCAAAGTCTGCTGCGACCCGGTTCCTTCTCCACGTGGTGCTGTTATGCCAGGTTCACGGGACCCTCAGAGACCACCAGGAGACGACTCGATGCAATTGCAAGAGAGCTTTATTACGAGAGCGATCGAACTCGGGACCCAAGTCTCACTGGCACAGCAGTAGAGAAGTGGGACCCCGAGCTCTGAGTGAACAGGATTTTTAAAGGGAAAGTCTGTGAGCTGGGGGTTTCCATGGCAGCAAGCAGGGGGGCACAAGCCTTGGCGTTACAGAATTGGGTGAAGTTTAGCAGGGCGGGGTGACCTTTTCTGAGGCACATAATCACAATGGCTAAGGCATATAATTACAATGGCTATTTTTCTAAACCATATCTGAAACATTGGGGAGAATTTTCCCACCCGATTCTCAACCGATTCCCATTGATTATTGCCAGGGAGTTTGTCTCTATTTTCTATGAAGCATTTATTCTGTTATATTTCCTGGAGGCTGTTGCTAGGAGAGTTAACTTTGTTTTCTGCCAGGTGTACATTCTGTGATATTTTCTGGTGCCTGAATTCAGTTCCCAGTCAAGATCTTTGTTTCAAAATGGAGTTATATTCAGGCTATCTTAAGCTCTTCAGTGCCTTCCACGCTGCTCAGTAAAGGCAGAACAAAGGTCGATGTTAGGGACAGACACGGGGACACATTCACAAGACAGGCTTCCAGCAGGCACAAAACCTCACACAACAGGATGGAGGACGCAGGAGCCTGAGAGAGAGAATTCAAATCTGGCTTGCTTTGGTTAAATGAAACCAAAGTGTGTGTGTGGGCGGGGGGGGGGGGGGGGGCTTTGATTCCTTCCCTCATGCGACAATGACTCGGGGACTCGGAGTTTTTTATGAATGTTCAGAGGTCTCCATTTGGTGCCCCTTGTGGGGGGATCGTTAATGGTTTAATCCATGTATTTGTATCAACATTCCACTAAAAAATAAAGAGAGGAGGAAAGTCAAATCAGGAGACAGTGACTAAACCAGCCTGGTAGCCCGGCTGGTGATCCAGCTGCACAGCCAAGGATTCCAAGTTCAAAACTGGGGCTACAAAGTGAGTTCAAGGCCAGCCTGGACAGTTTTGTCAAACAGTCTCAAAATTCAAACGTAATCTGACCATTTACGGGAGATTTTAAGTTCCCAGTTACGTTCTATGCATCTCCAGACGTTATTTCGTCTTCTGGCCGGTGCTGGAAATGTTTCTGCCCATTCTGAGTTTGAGCATCTCCACTGAACTTCATTTGATTTTGATTTTGAGGTCTCTTTTGTCTTTCATTAGTTCTCACCATGTAAGTTTGAATCTTCTAATAAAAATTTGGCACAAACTAGCTGGGCAGCGGTGGTGCCCGCCTTTAATCCCAGCACTTTGGAAGCAGAGGCAGGCGGATCTCTTAAGTTAGGGGACAGACTGGCCTACAGAGTGAGTTCCAGGACAGCCAGGGCTTCAGGGAGAAACCATGTCTCAAAAAAAAAAATTGGTTAAAACTTACAAGTAAAAAACAACATACATAAAAAGAGCTGAGGACACAGCTGTAGATCCCTTTCCTGATGTCTGTGAAAGCTCAACAGGAAAGTGTTTGTGTGCAAGGCGCTGGGTTCAGTCCCTACTCTCACAAGAAAAGAGCAACAAATAAAGAATGTTAAAGGTTTCCAGGTGTGTGGTCAGACCGTGCCTACGAGGAACTGCCAGGGTGCTCACTCTTCAAGAGAAACTACTTAAAGTAGCTTTTAGACTCGGGGACCAGGTTTTGTGCTCTGAGCGGAATGGCAGGTAGGATGCTTGTGGCAGAACAAACTGGGAAACCTTGTAGACAAGAGACTTGGCGCTGGGGCCAGGGGAGGGGGCAGAGGAGGGGACAAAGCATGACGGGCACATAAGGACATGTCCCTGCAGCTGACTGCTGGCTAGACCCCACAGAGCAAATGCCAAGCAGCGAGAGCTCAAACCTTGCACACACGAGCCTGGGCCCAGCTCCTTAAGACAGTCTAGCCCATTGGCTGTTGGTTCCTGTTAGAGGAGTAGACACAGCGGGGACAGCTACCACAGAGGAAAACTCTCTTCAGCTTTACTGAGGCGTAATTGACAAAACCGTACTACCTAAGGGGTGCAAGTTGAAGCCTTGATGTATGGACAAGTTATAAAATGATTACTACAGACAAGCAATTAACATCTATCATTTTGCAGTTAACTGGGGTGTGTGTGTGTGTGTGTGTGTGTGTGTGTGTGTGTGTGTGTGTAGAATCCCTAAAGTCCATCTTCAGCAAATTTCAAGTCTACACTATTTTTCATTGGTTTGTTCACTTTATTTCCCCCTTTTTTGAGACTCAAGCTGAATTCAAACTCACTGTGAGCTTGAATTCCTGGCCCTCCTGCCTCTGCTTCCTGAGTGCTCCTCCACGCCTGGGTAGCAGGGTGTTAGGAATGACGGTCACCTTGGGAGACAGTTGATCTCATAACTGCGCTGCTGCCCAGGGCATGCACAGAGGCTGGCCTGCGTGCGGTGGCACCCAGACACGAGCACAGAGAAGCTGAGGTTGTGTGGACGTTCCTTCTGATGCGATGACCCAGCAGACCCAGAATGCGTGGGTTCAGCACACGGTGAGGCGGTGGGACAGAGGAACGAGGCGGGTCTGTGTGGGGAAGCAGCTTCAGGCTGTAAACATCCAGAGGGAGGCCTTGGCCTTCTTGCCACTCCCAAGGGGCGGAGGCACTGGGGCACCTGGCATGCCCAGTTTCCTGGCAATTGTGCACTTCACCCCCGACTCCACCTCCTTCTCACGGCTGTCTCCCGTGGGCTCTCTGTGTACCCCAGCACGTCCCACTCTGAGACTTTCTCATTTGCACATTTAGTATTGATGTCAGCATTATTCGAACTACTGGCAAGACAATACGTTAGTAGATTATAAGACACAGTTAATGGGCCGCAGATAGGCTCAATTTTTAACAAGACGGAAGGGAGCGAGCACGCCGCTGGACTTGTATCAAGCGTGGTGACTGCTGTTGGAGATAGTGCCTCCGATT